CGTCCTCCTGGCATGTCCCCTGTCGACTAGTTCTGGGGCAGCTACCATCTGCTCAGGCAGCTCGAGTTTAAGATCCAGATCAGTTCGATCAGGACTCGGATGCAAAGAAGACTCGATCCACAACGCTATATAGAGCACAATCGCGGCATGGCACATCGCAGTTCAGCATGGTGTAGCACAATTCAGCCCTCGGCGCAGTACATCAAGACCGATACATTCAGCATTGCATGTGCCCGTTGCCCAATCAGGTGTCTTTGAAACGCTGCTACGCCTTAAATGTCTAGATTCCTTTACAGGCTCGTGGGTCGATCATGTATTCGCATGTTTAGCCATAGTAGTAGTAATCGTCCACTTTGTCGTCGTAGTCGTAGTCGTAGTCGTAGTCGTAGTCGTAGTCGTAGTGGTAGTAGTAGTAGTAGTAGTAGTAGTAGTAGTAGTAGTAGTAGTAGTAGTAGTAGTAGTAGTAGTAGTAGTAGTAGTAGTAGTAGTAGTAGTAGTAGTAGTAGTAGTAGTAGTAGTAGTAGTAGTAGTAGTAGTAGTAGTAGTAGTAGTAGTAGTAGTAGTGTAGTAGTAGTGTAGTAGTTAGTAGTAGTAGTAGTAGTAGTAGTAGTAGTAGTAGTAGTAGTAGTAGTAGTAGTAGTAGTGGTAGTGGTGGTAGTAGTAGTAGTAGTGATAGTAATAGTAGTAGTAGTAGTAGTCGTCGTCGTAGTAGTATTAATAGTAGTAGCAGTAGCAGTGGAAGTCGTAGTAGTAGTCGTAGTAGTAGTAGCAGTAGTAGTAGTGGTAGTAGTAGTAGCAGCAGTAGTAATAGTGGTAGTGGTAGTGGTAGTTGTAGTGGTAGTAGTCGTAGTCGTAGTCGTAGTCGCAGCCGTACTACTAGTCGCAATAAGAGTCGTGGTAGCGCTAATAATAAAAATCGTAGCAGTAGCCGTAGCACGAGCAATAGCAATTGTAGTGGTAGTAGTAGTAGTCGCGGTAGTGGCGATAGTCGTCGTAATGGTAGTAGTAAGAACAATCACAGTAATAGTAATAGGTGTCGTCGTAGTAGCAGGAGTGGCAGAATACGAGTAGTAGTTGTGCTAGTAATACAATTAATGCTGGTCGTCGTGGTACCAGTTTTAATAGTAGTCGTAGTAGTAGTAGTAGTAGTAGTAGTAGTAGTAGTAGTAGCAGCAGCAGTACTAGTAGTAGTAGTAGTAGTAGTCGTAGCAGTAGTAGAAGTAGTAGCAATAGTAGTAGTAGTAGTAGTAGTAGTAGTAGTAGTAGTAGTAGTAGTAGTAGTAGTAGCACAAGTAGTACAAGTGGTAAAGGAGTAGTAGTGTTACGGGAACATGATAATCGTAGTGCTCGCAGCCATAGTACTAGTAGCTCCCGTACTAGTGCGACTACGAGTGGTAGTACTAGTAGTTGTGGTAAGAGTGGTAGTCGTCATGGTAGTAGTATAGTAGTATAGTAGTATAGTAGTAGTACCAGTAATACCAGTAACACTAGTAGAAGCAATCGTACTAGCGTTAGTGTTAGCAGTAGTAGTAGCAACAGTCGTAGTAGTAGTAGTAGTCGTAGTAGCAGTAGTAGCAGTAGTAGCGGGAGCCATCGTAGTCGTAGGCGCAGTGGTAGTAGTAGTAGTAGTAGTAGTAGTAGTAGTAGTAGCAGTAGTAGTAGTAGTCGTAGTAGTAGTAGTAGTAGTAGTAGCAGTCGTAGCAGGTGTAGTAGTAGTAGTAGTAGTAGTAGTAGTAGTAGTAGTAGTAGTAGTCGTAGTAGTAGTAGTAGTAGTAGTAGTAGTAGTAGCCGTGGTAGTAGTAGTAGTAGTAGTAGTAGCCGTGGTAATAGTAGTAGTAGTCGTAGTAGTAGCATCATTCGCAGTAGTAGTTTTCGTGATAGCAGTAGTACTAATCGAACGTGCGGAAAACGTATTAGTAATCGAGCTCGTGGAAGTAACAACCGTAATAGTAACAATGTTGCATCAGTAGTAGTTGGTATATTAGTAGTAGTAGTCGTACTACTACTACTACTACTACTACTACAACTACTACTACTGCTGAGAGAAAAGAATCGAACTCGTAGTAGTTGTGGTAATAGTAGTAGTAGTAGTAGTAGTAGTAGTAGTAGTAGTAGTAGTCGTAGTAGTTGCAGTTGCAGTTGTGTCCGTAACACTATTAGTAATAGTATTAGTAGTCGTCGTAGCAGGTATATGAGTAGCAGTCGTCGAAGCAACAGTCGTACAACTAATAAAAGTCGATGTAGCCTTAGTAGAGGTACGGGTAGTACTAGTCCTGATGATAGTAGTAGCAGCCAGATCCGCACTAGTAGTAGTAGTAGTGGTAGTAGGGGTAGTAGTAGTAGTAGTAGTAGTAGTAGTAGTAGTAGTCGTAGTACACCAGCAGCAGTAGTCGTAATCGTAGTGGTCCTGGTAGAAGTAGAACGACTAACCGTAGAAGTTGCATATGCATGTGTATGCATAGTACTCGTAGTAGTAGTAGTAGTAGTAGTAGTAGTAGTAGTAGTAGTAGTAATAGTAGTAGTAGTAGTAGTAGTAGTAGTAGTAGTAAGAATAGTCGTCACAGTAGTAGTAGTAGTAGTAGTAGCAGGACCAATAGCAGTTGTGGCAGTGGTGATTGTAGTGATAGTAGTAGTAGTAGTAGTAGTAGTAGTAGTAGCAGTAGTAGTAGTAGTAGTAGTAGTAGGAGTAGGAGTAGTAGTAATAGAAGTTGTAGTAGTAGTAGTAGTAGTAGTAGTGATAGTGGTAGTAGTAGTACTGGTAGTACAACAAATCCAGTGGTAATGGTAGTAGTAGTAGTAGTAGTAGTAGTAGTAGTAGTAGTAGTAGTAATAACACTCGTAGTATAGTAGTTGTCGTAGTAATAGTAGTCGTCGTCGTAGTCGTAGTCGTCGTAGTGACAGTATTATGCGTAGTAGTCGTAGTAGTCGTGATAGCAGTAGTAGTAGTAGTAGTAGTAGTAGTAGTCGTATACGTAGTCGTAGTCGTAGTAGTAGCAGCAGTAGGAGTCGTAATCGTAAAGGTAGTAGTAGTATTAATAGTATTAGTAGTAGTAGAAGTAGAAGTAGAAGTAGTAGCAGTAGTAGTAGTAGTAGCAGTAGTAGTAGTAGTAGTAGTAGTAGTCGTAGTAATAATAGTAGTAGTAGTAATAATAATAGTACTGCTTGTGGTAATAATAGTTGCAGCAGCAGCAGTAGTAGTAGTAGTAGTAGTAGTAGTAGTCGTAGCCGTAGTCGTAGTCGTAGTAGTAGTAGTAGTAGTAGTAGTAGTAGTAGTAGTAGTAGTAGTAGTAGTAGTAGTAGTAGTAGTAGTAGTAGTAGTAGTAGTAGTAATAGTAGTAGAAACGCGTCGTCGTCGTAGTCGTGCTAGTATCAGTAGCACTAACAATTCCCGGTCATCCTGTGGTCTTGTGCCCTGGTTTTGAATACGCATCGCCCGCGTCTCCTCCTCCTTCCCCCTCCCCCCCTCCCTCCTCCCTCTCCCTGCCTCTGCCCTCCGTGGTCGCTGCTTCGGCTCACGCGCTGCGTGGCCCCACAAGGACCACCCACAACATCCGAATGAGGGGCCACGCGGGAAGCCCAGGAGGAGGAGGAGGAGGAGGAGGAGGAGGATGCAGGAGCAGGCATGATGAGGCAGGAGAGAGGAAGGCAAGCGCCAACTGCACAGACCCAGCCCGGCGCCTGTGCAAGAGGGGGCTGGCGGGGGCCGCAGGCGGCAGGCGCAGGCTCCACCCCGGCGCGCCTGGGGGCCCAACGAGGCGTCGCCCTCCGCGGAGGTCTCCTCCATCGCCTCCAGGGTCGACAGACCTGGGGCGCTCAAGACGTCGAGGAGGAGTCGGGGAGGGCCAGGCATCGAGGAGGGGGAGGAGGGGCGAGAAGGAGGAGGAGGAGGAGGAGGAGGAGGAGGAGAGGATGAGGAGGAGGAGAAGAGGATGAGGAGGATGAGGAGGAGGATAAGAGGAGGGTGAGGAGGTGGATGAGGAGGAGGGGCAGAGGCCGGAGGAGAAGGGGGAGGAGAAGGGGGCAGGACAAGAGGGATGAAGACGGTGATAGGGGAGTGTTAGGCTAGATGGTCAGGAGGAGGGCAGGGGGGTGGAGGGGGTGGAGGATCGAAGGTAGGTTCGAGGGGTTGAAGGATGAGGATGAGGAGAGGGGGGAGGAAGTAGAGGAGGGGGATGAGCAGGACTTTGTTCTAAGCAGTAAGCCCGAGATGACGGACTGCCCACGTGTGGAGGGCCAGTAGGAGTAGGAGAGAGGCTCTCGAAACCCCGTCCGACATACGCGAGCTGGCACTGGAACCACATGGGCGAGCCAAGGCCTGCTCGGCACTGAAACTGAAGGCACTCGGGCGGACAGAAGTAGAGCATGGCCCTTGAACAGAGTCCCAAGCATCCTGCCGTCGTAGGAACGGGGTTTGACCGAGGGCGGTTCGGGAGACAACAGCCGCACCCTGCCTGTCCGAGCCTCTGCCACGGCAGCTGGAAGCCCAGAATGGGGAGGAGCGGGAGGTGGGGGGGGGGACGGAAGGAGGTGGGGAGGGGAATGGCAGGGTGTCAGGCTTCAACAGGGCCTGTGCGGCCCCGTCACCGCACACATCACTAGCCACTCACGTGCGCAACGCCACCACGCCCACGTGTCTGCGACCCTGAGTGTGGCGACGCATGCTGCTGGGGTGCTTAGAGCCCATCGCGGGCACCACCACAAGACACGCGTGCAGGTGTGAGAATGGCAATACCGCTGCCTACCCTGCCGAAGGCACGCTGCTGGCAAACCCCAACAGCCCTCCCAAGCGCTGGGCCTCGCGCAGACGACTGCTTCGTGCGCAGAAGTGTGGCCCCAACAGTTACATCTAGGTCGGGTATGTCCCCCTGCAGGCGGATGTTGGAAGACAAATATAGACAAGGGTCAGGAATAATCGAAAATAGCCCCCCAAAAAGAGCACGACAAATCGTCACCAGACTGTTCCTTACTATTGTTGAGTATTCCTCCTGCAGTGGCACATGCCCGACCTAAAATTACGTCTCCCTTGCTGCCCAAGGGGCGACCGGCAAGGCAAGGGCCTCGCCTTCCCAGAGCGGGGGCCCGCCGACATTCCCGGACAGCTCCCTGGAGGACCAGGAGGGCTGCGAGATATAGGAAGGCACCAACTAAATACCAACACCGATCCTGGCCAGGATCGGTGTTGGTGTATAGTTGGTGCCCTCCGAAGATAAGAAGCCGGCAGGCAGGGCTACGGCAGCTCCTCTCCAAGGCTCCTGGGCCGGCATCCTCGCGGCGCCCTGCTTGAACTCGCAGCGGGTCCCGGGAGGGTTTTCCTGCGTTGTTGCCGATGCGTGTGCCTGAAGCCTTTCTTCGAGTGTCCTTCGCATCTCCTTCGAAGGTTGCGTTCCAAGGCTTGCAAGCTCCCCAGGCATGCTTTCCAGCGTCCTTGCAAGTCTCTTCTGCAGACCTTTCCACGCGCTCAGCGAGTCTCGTATGGCTCCAGTGGGGCCGTGCCAGGCCTGGAAGCGGCGCGGCCCCGGGATGAAGACCCGGGGTCAGCGGCCCTGGGACAAGGACCCGACGCGGGAGGGCGGGGCAGAGAGGAGCAGACGGAAGGGAAGAGAGAAAAAGGCCCACCGCACCGCGCGAGGGGGGTCGGCCGGAAAGGGGGGGGTGTCGGCGCGGAAACAAACTCCCAGAGCCTCCAGTGCGCCGGAGGCGCTGAGAAGAAACGACACACACCCACTCTGGTCGAGGAAGGGGTCTCGACGCCTCCTGCGAGAGCCAGGGGCGTCGGGAAAAACAAACACACGGAGAGCCCCCCTCCCTCCCTCCCTCCCTCCCTTCCCCTCCCCCCCCTCCCTCCCTCCTTCCCTCCCTCCCTCCCCCTCCCTCCCCCTCCCTCCCCCCCCTCCCTCCCTCCATCACCCAGGCAGGGTTTGTCCTCTCCAGCTCTCCCGAGCATCGCCCAGGGGGGGGTGCTCGGGGGGGGCATCTACCGCCGTCGATCGCTCAGAGGGGGTTCGGCGGCCACCCCGGCGCGCACTGCTCGCGTCCAGGGTTCCCCCCGAGAGGGGGAGCTCAGGCGGGAGCTCTGCTAGCAGGTGCCCCCGCTCGTCCAGTGGGGTGTCGGTCAGAGCGGTCGAGTCGCCCAAGGGGGTCTCAGCCGCTCAGTTCTCGCTCGAGGGGGTCCTGTGCGGAAACAGCCCCCGTGAATCGCCCAGGGGGGGGTTCGCGGGGGTGGGGTAGTCCAGGGGGCGCCCTGGAAATGGAAAGAACATGGGGATGCGGAGGAGGAGGAGGAGCAGAAGGAGGAGCAGGAGGATGAAAAGGAGAAGGAGGAGGACCTTCGCGCGGATTTTTGGGGCGCTCCCTGGCGGGGGAAGGTCGTGCCGTCGACGCTAGCGACGACGACGACGACCACGACGATGAGAACGACGCCGATGACTATTTGGACGGGCTGCGCGACGCTAGCAAGGATTGGCCCGACGCCGGCGACGACGTCCGCCGAGCCCTGGCCCTGCCCTCTGCCTGGGCCCTGGCCCTGGCCGCGGCTCCCGCTTCGGCCGTAGCTTCGGCGTCGGCCCGGGCGTCGGCGTCCGCCTCGTTGAAGGGGCCCTGGGACACACAAATAAATACACACAAATAAAAAGATTCCCCATATTTTTCAATATTTTCTGAGTTTTGTCTTCCCCACCACTTCCCATATTTTCCCATATTTTCTGGGGAATCGACGATTAATTGTGTCTGTGTGTTTCTTTCCCTCCTGAGTGTTGGGCGCCTGCCCCAGCCTCGGCCCCAATGGCTACACCTTCGGCCCTGCCGCCGGCCGCGGCCCTGGCTCTGGCCCCAGCCCCGGCTCGCGCCTCGCCTCTGACTTTTCGGCCCGAGGTGCGGAGGGCGCCGCGCGGCCGATGAGGCCCGCTGCATGGGAGGAGCGCTTGCGGGAGCGTCTGCGCGCAGAGCACGCCGCGATCCGCGAGGCGATCGTCGATCAATTCTGCGTGGGGGGCAGCGGGGCGCGAGCAGAAATCGATGCAGAAAGCATGCCGTGCGTCTTGCCGCAGGTCTCGGTGCGCGCTAGCGGGAGGCCGAGCGGGCGCGGCGGACAGAGGCGGCGGCCGAGGAGAGCAAGCAGATGTTACACACGGTGCGCTGCTCCCTGTTGTGTCCCGCCCACTGCTGTGGGATGCGTCGCCAGGGCGTGCCTGGGCTGGCCACCACGCGCGGGGGGGGGGGGTAGCCTGGCAGGAGGAGGAGGAGGAGGAGGAGGAGGAGGAGGAGGAGGAGGAGGAGGAGGAGGCGGAGGAGGAGGAGGAGGAGGAGGAGGAGGAGGAGGAGGAGGAGGAGGGGCCAAGAACGAGCGCCTGGGGCAGCTTCTGACTGCCAGTGCGCTTCGTGCCGCCGACCTGGAAGAGCCGCCGGCGCGCGCCGCCTGCGCCGCCGCCGTGGCCGCGCACGATGCCGCGTGGACCGGGGGCGACGCGGCCCTTCACGCCGCGTGCGTTCACAGAAGGACAGCAGGCCGGCGATGACGAGGCGGACCGCGGCGGCGCGCTCGTGGCGTCGGAAGGATGCTTTCGCGCGGGAGGTGTCGGGCATTTCCGGTTTGTCGGAAATCTGGGTGGCCGCGACTGCAAGGTGGCTCGGCTGCAGGCGTCGCGGGTTGTCGGCGCGGATGCGTGCTGGCGGCCGCGTGTGCGGTCGCTGCACATTTCCTGGTGCAGGCATCGGGGGTCGAAATGCAAGCAACGCGAAATTTTTGGCATTGCGTGGGGGATCCGGCCTTGCGCGTGACGCGTGTGATGGTCGGCCTCGGGCTATGCCAGCGGCGGGACCATGCAAGACGATGCAGGGAGCTGCTCTTTTCGGAAGTGTTGTTGGATGCCGTGGTGCGCGGCCGCGCCGCCGCAGGGGGCCAGTCTGGGCCAGCGGCGTGGGAAGTGCGTGCAGGATGCTGCTCCTGATGTGCTCGGACGCGACGCAGCGCGCAATCTCGGCTTTGCCTGTCAAGACCGACGAGGGCTCGGGGACAGGGGGGGCGCGGCTGGAGCAGTGGAATTTCAAGGAGGAGGGAGGAGGGAGGAGGGAGGAGGGAGGAGGAGGAGGAGGAGGAGGAGGGAGGAGGAGGAGGAGGAGGAGGAGGAGGAGGAGGAGGAGGAGGAGGAGGAGGAGGACGGTGGAAAGGTATCTGAGGGCGTGCCGCATGCGCGCTCGCGAGTTCTCCGCGGAGCCCACGGGGGCCTCCGAACTGCAAGCGGGGCGGCGCGTGGCCAGGGTGCTCGGCGGCGGACCTGGCGTCTGCGCGGGATCGCCGGCGTGGCTCGACGGCGGCCACGCCTGCGCTGTGCATGGGGATGCAGGGGGTGATGTTGGGGAGTGGGGCACCGGGCGAGACCGCGCCGTGGTGCCGCGTGGTCGCGCGCGGCAAGTCGCGGTCTCGCTCAGGTCGCCGCACGCAGCGGCGCCCCCCGGCAGGGCGCCGAAGCGGCGCGCGGCGTCGCGGGGCGGGCAGGAAGCTCGCGGCAGCAGCGGGAGCGCGCGCGACGGAGTGCCCTGACTCCGGATCCGCCCTGCTTTGTTTTTTCTTTCCAGATGTAAAATTGCGTCGGAAATCCATTTCTAAGAAGCCGAAGCAGTAAGGCGGACATTTCCGCCCCCAAGAAGCAAGGCTGACATGTTCGCAGTACTTGTTGACGTTTCTATTCAAATCGCGCGTAGCAAAGCACGTATATGTTCGGATCCGAACTGTAGGAAAATAAAGCGGATGCGTAGTCAAGTTCGCGCGGCGCCTCTTTTCGAAGCCACCCAGAGCACCGCGCCAGGGCGACGGGGCCGAGCGGTCTCCCACTGTCCGCAAGCGCGGGTATGACCAACTAGTCCACGATGCAGAGACATGTTTTCACCTGGTCGTCGTGGCCCCGCCGCCCGCGCCGCGGCCCAGGGGAGCCTCGAGACGGTCAAAGACGGTCTCAAGACGACCCGAGGTGCCTCGAAGACGGCCCAAGAGGGCCCCAAGGTGCTCCCGAGCGGCCCGCGCCTCTTGATCCTCGCAACGCCCATCAATAATCATGGCGCTTTTGCCCACCGGGCTTCGGCCCAAATCTCGCCCATCCGGCACGAAAGGGGGTGTCAAGACGGCGCCCCAACGATCCAGAACGGCCTCCAAGACGGCTGATGCGGCCCAAGATGGCGCCTTTGGCTGCGCGCCGTCCCGGGCGTTGCCTCTAGAAGAGCACCGCGGCCGCGCCCGAAAGCGGAGGTCGATGCATCCGCCGCACCGTCAATCGAAACGCGTTTTGCCCTTCTTTCCCCCCCCCAAACGTCCGATGCGGGCCCAGAATCCCCGACGCATCAATGACATGTTTTTCCGACCGCAGCCCGAACGTGTTTCTCGCGAGGTAAACTCTGACTGACTGACTGACTGACTGACTGACCGACCGACTGACTGACTGACTGACTGACTGACTGACTGACTGACCAACTGACTGGTCGCACACGCTACGCGGCGGTTTTGTTCTCGGCCGCCGAAGGCGCAACCGCGGCGCAACCAATAGGAGACGGCTTTATTCTCTGCCGCCGAGGGCGCAACCTATGGCGCAAACAATAGCAAACAATTTTATTCTCAACCGCCGACGAGGGCGCAGCCCATGGCGCAACCAATCGGAGACGGTTTTATTCTCGGGCGCCGGGGGCGCAACCTAGGGCGCAACCAGTAGGAGGCGGTTTTTATCTCGGCCGCCGAGGGCGCAACCTATGGCGCAACCAGAAGGAGACGGAAATATTCTCGGCCGCCGAGGGCGCAACCTATGACGCAACCACGAAAAGACGGGATCATTCTTGGACGCCGAGGGCTCAATCAGGCGAAACCAGTACCTCCTCCTGCTCCCTCTCTTCCTCCTCCTGTTCGTCATCGTCCTCCTCATTATTGGTTGTCGTCTTCCGCCACCTCCATACGAATTGCTTAATGATCGTCTTCGTCCCCCCTCTTTTTCCAACGATTTGTCCTCCTCCGTCCTCTCATTCCCCTCCTCCTCCTCCTCCTCCTCCGATGTATTCGTCTTCCTCCATCCGTCTCCCTCCACCTCCTGCTTGTCCTCCTCGTCCTCCTTCCTCGACTTACAATGTTCGTCGTCGTCCCCCCTCCTCCCCTCCCATCTCCACCTTCTCGTCCACCTGCACCATATCTTCGTCGACGTCCTCCTCCCTACTTTTCCTCCTATTCCTCTGCTTCTCATGGCGGAACGCCTCCAGTGGCATTATGAGGCGTCCAGTCGTCGTCGTCGTTTTCTTCTCCCTTGTGCTCTTCTCTACCGCTGTTTCGAAATCGCTAAAAGAGTCCCCGGCAACTGTTTTGAAAGTCTCGCTTTTTTAAAGACGCTGTTTTCGCCAAGTTCCATTGTTAGGGCTCTAGGATCATGTCCGTGCGCGGGCGTGGACTTGGGCGTGGGCACGGGTGTGGGCGCGCGCGCGCCCGCTTGCGCCGTCCGCGCGCCCCCCCCCTTCCCCCTTCCCCTGCTTCCGGCGCTCCGCGAGGGCGGAGTGGATGGAGTGTTAAGTCGGGCATGTCCCCCTACAGGGGGATTTTCTATGAAAAATAAAAATGCCCCCAAAAACCCCAAAATGACAAAAAAATGCTCCGAAAACAGTCCCCAGACTATCTTGGGACCATCTTTGGACCATTTTTGGAGCATTTTTTAGCTTTCGTCGAACATCCCCCTGTAGAGGGAAAGGCCCGACATAAATGGAGAGGAGGGAGGGCCGGCCCCTTCCCCCTTCCCCTGCTTCCGGCGCTCCGCGAGGGCGGAGCGCCGGAAGCAGGGGAAGGGGAGGGGAAGAGAGGGGATGGGAGGGGAGGGAGGAGAGAGGAGGGAGGAGGGAGGGAGGAGGGAGGAGAGAGGAGGGACGAGGGAGGGAGGGCTGGCCCCTGAGTGGGGCGGTGCCTCTCCCCTCCGAGAGCGCGGGCGGGGACGCCCGGGGACGGCCCCCGGAGGCGGCAGCGGGGCGCGGGCGGGAGGGCGCGGAGCACGCGGGTGGAAGGGGTGCGCGAGTGCGCGGTCGTTGGCGTGGGGCTGTCCGTGGATGTGCTGCGTGTGTGCGCGCGTGTGTGTGTGCGCGTGTGTGTAAGTGTAAGTGTAAGTGCCAGTGTGTGCAAGTGTAAGTGCAAGTGCAAGTGTGAGCGTAAGTGTGCGGCGGTGGCGGGGCGTGTGCGCGCGGTGGTGGTGGTGGTGGCGGCCGTGGATGCGCTCGCGGCGGCAGCGGGGGCGGGCGCGCGCGCGCGCGGGAGCGCGCGTGCGCGCCCGCGTGCAGAGCTGCCCTGCTGAGAGGCCGAGCCCGGCGAGGGAGCCGGCGGGCTCGGCGCCGGGCGGGGACGGGCAGGAGCCAGCGGAGCCTGTAGGTCGGGCGGGCGGGCCACGGAGGAGCAGCCCGGATCGCCGCGCGGCCAAGGAGCGCGCGACAGCGGAGCGTGCACTGGGACGGACGGCCGGGCGGCGGCGCGCCGGAGGCCGAAGTCAGCGGAAGGTCCCCGGGCGTTTGGAGAGTTGGGCGTGGCTTCATAAGGGGGGTCATAATTTTGGGGGGGGCAGAAGTGGTCCTCTTTCGTGCTCCTTTCGGGCCCCTCCGCAGCCCCAGGGGGCTCGTTTGGGTGCCGTTTGGGTACCATGTCGGGCCACCCTCGCCACCCCCCCATTTATGACCCCCCATTACGCACCGCCCAAGAGAGAGGCGTCGCCAGAGATCCGGGAGCCTGGGCCCAGCCGAGCTGGTGAGTGGCCCAAGGGGGGGGTGAAGAGAAGGGCCCGCACCTCAGAGCTCCTCTTCGGGCCCCTGCTGGCTCCCAAAGGAGCCCCGAAGTGCCCCTTTCGGGCCCTTGTCTCCGTCCCCCATTTGGGTCACCCCTCACTGCCACCCGCCCGACTGGGCCCTAGCTCCCAAATCTCCAGCGATGCGTCTTTCCACGCATCCTGGAGCAACTTCCGTTGACTTCGGCCTCTGGCTCGCCATCGCTCGGACGTCCGGTCCCCGTGCATGTCTCGATGTCGTGCGCTTCCTTTTCGCAGGACGATCCGGGATGCTCCTCGATGGTCCTCGCCGAGAAGCAATGCACACGTCCGAGCGATGCCAAGCTGGGGGGAGGAGGCGGCGGCGGCGGGACATGCTCTGGTGATCCACGGGGGCAGGCCTCTCTGAAATGCCGTTGGCCAGCTCCCGGCTCTTCGATCTCTGGACAGGTCGGAGACCAGGTTGTCGTGCTCAGAGGTTTCAGTTGTCGTGTGGGCCTGATAGAATGATCAGCGAACGGGCAGTCACATCCTGAGGAGGAGGAGCAGGAGGAGGAGGAGGAGAAGGAGGAGGAAGAGGAGGAGGAGGAGGAGGAGACGAGCGTACGCAAGGAGGAGGAGGAGGAGGAGGACGAGGAGAACGACCAAGACGACGAGGAGCCGAAGACCTCCTGGCGTGCTGCGGGTGTTGCGGCCGCCGCCGATGACCTCGGCGCAGGCCGAGAGGTCGATCGACGCCTGTGCGGCTGGGCGCCGCCCTTCTCCCCCCCTCTCCCCGCCTTGCGGACTTGCTCACGAGCGCGCAGGGACGACGACGACGACGAGGACGAGGACGAGGACGACGAGGAGGACGACGAGGGGGAGGAGTACGAAGACGAGGAGGAGGAGGAGGAGGAGGAGGACGAAGACGCGGACGCGTCCTTTTGAGTATGCCTCCCGCTCCTCAGGCGGCCTCGGGACGCGGGGCCGTGGAAGAAGAAGAAGAAGACGAAGAAGAAGACGAATGATAATAATGCTAAACGATCATACTACTCATAAGCGTACTCATACAGGTAATAATACTAATACTGAGAATAGTAAACGTTATTACTACGAATACTACGAATAATAATGATAATGGAAGTAATAATAAGGAAAATAATAATACTAATCAGAAGAAGAATAAGAAAAAGAAGGAGAAGAAGAAGAACAATCAAGAGAATAATAACAATAATATCCGGGGCGAGCGCTCCGCTCCCAGGAGGGGGCCGACAGCTCTGGGGTGGGGAGCCAGGCACGGAACAAACCATCGCGGCATCGGTGGCCTGGGGAGGGCGAGGACGAGGAGGGGGAGGAGGAGAAGAAGGAGGAGGAGGAGGGAAAGGAGGAGGGAGGACGAGGAGGAGGGAGGAGGAGGAGGAGGAGGAGGAGGAGGAAGAGGAGGAGGAGGATGAGGAGGAGGAGGAGGAGGAGGAGGGAAGACCGTAGCCATTTTGGCTCAAGCCATTTTGGCTCAAGGTGGTTCAGGAGAACCAAGGCCCCCGAGCCATTTTTATTTCCCGCACGATCCACTCCCCTTGAAGGGACACTCAATTGTCCAAGGGAGTGCTCCGCAGACATTTCGGCCACTTCCAGACAGGGTTTTCCCAGCTCGGGTAGTCCAATTGAGGGACACCCAACAGATGGCACAATGGGCAGCGACATGGAAGTGCAAGTGCGGACAGCAGAACTGGCTCAAGCAGATGAATTGCAGCAGGTGCGGGACTCATTGGAAGGCGTCGCAAGGCATGTCAGACAAGACACAGTCCAGCAAGCGTCGCCAACGTTCCAACAGCCAGAAATCAAATGCAACAGACGGTCGGCCGTGGGAAGGGGAAGATAACGACATCAAGGGCCCGCCTTTCGTGAGGATGGCCACGCCAGCGGAAGCTCAGTCACGCCCAGACTGCGAACCCCTATCCGCCAAGGCCGACGAGAGCGAGAAGAGAATATATTACAAAGAAGTGAGATCGAAGTTAAACTTATTGCAGCAGGGATACAAGATCGCCTGGGCCATGAAAGAACCCATCCAGGAGATCACACAGCAGATCGCCATGTTGAGAAGGATGCTCATATCAGAGAAATCACTGGAGCAGCAAAGTGCATGGACAGAGACAACGATCGCCAGAATGCTGCTGAGGGTCGACTCAGCCAACAAAGCGTTGGAGGCGCAGCAAGAGATCCTGGACAAGAAGATCGCTATTCGAGACAACCTTCAGGACCAGCTAGAGGCCCTCCGCCGCACCAAGAACGATATTCGAATCATGATACAAGAAACACAGCAGGCAGAAGAAGATGCGGCAACACAGATGGGCCTCGACATGCAGATGGAACAGGACAGACAGACGGAGGACAACGTCGCAATCCCAGAGTCGCAGTCCCCAGTCCCGCCAGGCCAGCCATCGCCAGTACAGTCAAAGGCAGGCCAAGGCATAGTCGATCCGCAGATGGTCGTGCAGAGACATGTCGAGGCCCACATGCAGCCAGTTTATCAGCATATGCAGCAGATGCAGTTCATGATGCAACTGATGCTGCTGATGATGATGATGATGATGATGATGATGATGATGGTGATGATGCTGATGATGATGATGACAAGTCAGCAACCAACGACAATGCCAAGTACGTTGACGGCGCCATCATCAGCGGCACCAATGACCCCTCCAGCGCCATGTTCGCCAACGGAGGCAGCAGGATCATCTCCATCGATGGTATTGACGCCGACGGAGCCGATGCAGCGACTGGGTTTATCGCCTTCAGATGTGAGTTCGACGCCACAGAGTCCGAGGAGGGGGCCATTCGTGCAGGATCGAGCCTCCAGGTACGAGAGCAGTTCAGAGCAGGCGTACTCCCTCGGGCCACCAGCAGAGCATCGGCGGCGCCCAACAACATCGCGCAGCCCGAGCGCAAGAATGGCCAGGACTCCGACATCATCGAAGAAACCGATCAACGACAAGGCAAAGCAGAAGACCACGGACCGCGCCCTCGCCCCGTTCGGGAGTCAACGGCGCAGGGCGACGCTGCTGGAGATGGCCAGCCATATGAGCACCGTGCATAACAGCAAAGCGACCACCATCAAGGTGCCGAGCGGCGGGGAGATGAGCGGCACAGTGGGGATTCACACAGACGACTACGAGGAGTGGAAGCCAGTCTGAGTCATCCACAGAATGAGCAAGCTTTTGAGCGAGTGCCTGATGTGGGTAGGCAGGCCAGCTCAACATTGTATATCGACTCTAGCGAGTCGCCCCCGCCTCCCCCGATCGATCAACGGTCTGGTGGAAAGAAGAGGACGCGCGTCGTTTTTAATGCGACCGTGCCCATTCATTTCTTAGGCACTCATCCCCTCTCTCCGCCTCCCCCCTCTTCGAGTGGGGTTGGCGGCTCGCGGGGTCTCGAACCGACGGGATCAGGTGAAGACTCGCCCAGCCATATCGTGCTCCACCTCGACTCTAGGATACCGATTGTCGTGCCGATCGTGGGCGATGATCCTGTCAATAACATCAAGTGCAAGTTAGGACCTGAAGGTAACATACTCACACGCCTGCAGAGTGACGGACGCACCGCCCCCCTTGTGACGGAGGTCGACCAGACCGACCTCCATGCTCACGCCAAGCTGGGCCTTGACATGTGCCCAGTCGCCCAGCACGTGCACGGTCACGTCAGCATCTTCGTCGACGGGTCATTCGACGAAAAGAAGCCTAGCACCGCGGCCTGGGCAATGGCCGCCATCGCCAAGGACAGAGCAGGAACCATCTCCTTCTTGGGTGTTCAAACAGGGAAATGGTTGACATCCGTGGGGGTTCATCTGGACGTCCGCAAACTTAGCAGCACGTCCCCTGAGATGGCTGCATAGTCTGGGCTCTGCTTTGGATCGGGTTTCAGCAGCCAAGCCTCGCCGAGAGTTACACCATCGAATCGGACTCGGCGTCGGCTATCCAGATTGCCAAGGGGACTGCTCAATCCGAGGCCCATCCAGAGCTCGGCACCCTCCTTCGAGTTTTGGCCCAAGAGGTTCAGGCCAATCATGGAGTTAGTTTCAAACATGTGCCGTCTCACCAGGCTCACCCATGGAATGAGTTGGTCGACGGCCTCGCGAAGCGAAAGCGAGTTGCCTCAGACGTGCACGACCCTGACTGGGCTAGCGACCTGACCCCTGCGGTCGGCGATGTCTGGTCGTGGTTGTCGCACGAAGAGGATGGCCGCCATGCCTATCCCTCTGTCGCATGCGAAGAGGGCCAACTTAGTTTTGTGAGCCCAGTCAGGACCCACGAGAAGACTGATCCCGAGGATTCCCCCCCAGCAGATGCCCTCTGCGGAGGGTCAGAGCCCCCGCCCGTGCTGATGGGAGATGTGCCCCTCACGGCTACTTCATTTAATGCCACCTCGATGGTCGAAAGCCCCAAGAGGGCTCGTCGTCGATACAGTGCTAAGATAATGGAAAAGCAGTTGCAGGAACAGGGGGCTTTGGTGGTCGGGATCCAGGAAGCACGGACCCCTGCGGGGCCTAGGAACGCAGAAGGATATCACCTCCTCGCGTCAGGGGGTGACGGGAAAAAAATCGGGGTCGAAGGATGTTTTTTTTCCACAGTCATACCCTACATGACACACAAAGGCACAAGCATATATTTTCAACGAGGTCATTTTTTAGTGGTGCATGCCGACACTCGCAGGATTGTAGCGCGAGTCCGCGCGCCAGGCCTACATTTCAATTTCATGGTGATTCATGCTCCATACCAAGATGCTCAGAGCCGGCTGCTTGACGCCGGCGCAGCGCAACAATGGTGGGAAGAGGCCGCAGCTAGTGCCCTCAGGACAGGGGTTGACATAATTGCTGCTGATGCCAATACCAGACTTGGAAGCGTGACTTCTAGCTCAGTAGGCTCTGGGGATTGGGCCGAATCTGAGAACGTGCCAGGTACTTGCTTGCATCAGTTTTTGTGCGAGGCTAACCTCGTCGCACCATCTACCTTTGATGAAGCGTCATGGGCCCGTCCTGATGGCGAAGAAGGTTACACCTTCATCAAGAATGGAGCCCACCATCGTCTCGACTATATTCTTGTTCGCCCACAGCTCGTCTCAGCCATCACCGACGAGCAAGTGTTTGGCGATGTCGATGACCTGACCGATCAAAGCGACCATATTCCCTGCGTGCTCGGGCTGGCGTGGGGGATCCACGACAACAGGCGCAGCCGCGAAGGGTTCGGCTCGAAATCGATGGTCGACGGGCCCAGGCCGAAGCTTTGAATCAGAGCCCTAGCGACCAGAGAGCCAGCGGGAGACGGAAGCCAAAGTTCAGCGGGCATCTCACTGGCGACGCCCACAGGGTTGCGATGTTCAAGGCCATGCTGTGCGCCATTCCGTTCATGGCTTGGACAACTGATGCCGCCAGCGTGCATTACAATCATGTTCAGAAGCAGATTTTATAGGCCGCTTCTGCAGCATTCCCCGTTCAGAAGACCTTCCCTCGGAAACCCTTCACGGATCCCCTCACCATGTACATGATTGGGTGGAAGAGAAAAAAGAAGGTGATCTTGAGGACCCCAAAAGACAGGAAGGCACAAGCTCTATACAATTGGGCTAGTATGATGATGTTTCCCTGTCCCCCAGTTGTTTTATGTTGTTTTCCAGGTTGAAGGAGAGGCCCGCGATTTGTGGCAAAGTTTCGAAGCCCAGATTTGGGAGCTCAAGCTGGCGGCTTTGGGCGTTTTTGGAGGGCTACG